CATCATTACCATTATTACCATAATAATTATCGCTACAACTACTGCCATTGTTGATATCAGTGTCATCATTATTCCCATCATCATCAACATTCTTCCATCACTATCATCAATTCTAATGGTTAATTCCTAAGAGTCTATCATAAAACAATGGACGAGTGAACAATATTTGAGATAACAGGAAATCCGATAAAGAAAGTGAAAATAAAGAAATACACAGATGAGCAAAATAGAAGACTAAGACAGTAAGAAGAGTATGATAGCGTCTCAGAGCAAGATGTAGAATATTTAATAGAACTTAAACACGTTCTGTAGGAGTATCTGGCAAGTGTTTCTCTGTTTGTTGTCCCACCTCTCTCTCTCTCTCTCTCTCTCTCTCTCTCTCTCTCTCTCTCTCTCTCTCTGCTCTCTCTCTCTGTCTATCTTTCTCTCTCCCCCCCTCTCTCTCTCCCCTCTCTCTCTCCCCTCCTCTCTCTCTCTCTCTCTCTCTCTCTCTCTCTCTCTCTCAAACAGGCGAATAAGCTAACAGATAGGTAGATAAACAGATACACAGACAAATAGACAAAGAAATAGACAGATCAAATATGTTCAAAATATGTGTTACACAGACAGACAGATATATTGTTTGTCAGACAGACAGGTAAATGCACTACAAAAAAAAAAAAAAAAAAAAAAAAAAAAAAAAAAACACAGAAAGAGAGAAAAAAGGAAGATAGACAGCTTAATTGATAAATCGGCAGAAAGTGAGATAGACTAGTTACACGGACACTCACAAGAGAAGTGAGAATTCAGCACTGTATATATTCGCTATATATGATTATCACCGTTCTTTTATTCAGCTTCTGTCATAACACATGCTCTGAATTATGAATGTCCTTGCATATTACAACGTGCACTCAGGATTTAGAGTTAGGCTTCTGTTTAACTTTGAGATCGCGAGTTTAACTTGAGTAAAACTTTGGAGGACTCGACGAAAAAACAACGAAACGGATGAAACGAATGCTTACATTGTGTTCTGCTGTGACGTTTGCCAAATCGGTTTCAGCGAAATTCGAATTTCTTTTTTCTGGAAAAAAAATCTGAAGGGGGCATTGATTCTTTATGTTGTTTTGGTACAATTTATCGAAATCAGACTCATAGATTTCACACACACACACACACACACACACACACACACACACACACACACACACACACACACGTAAGCGTCGTGTCGTCGACTTCCATCCTTGCACCGACGACAGAGGGAGCCAGACCGGAAGGGGTAATCTTGCGCCCTGTCCTCTCTCCGTCTGGCTCCTCATCTTTATCCTAGTCACTTTGGTTGACTTTCCTGTCGTCACTTTTGGAATGCTCGAAGCTCGCACATCTCTGCTGTGGTGGCTAAGTTTACGGTAATATTTCATGAACAAATACCCAGCGTCTGGTGGACTCACCTGCTTATTGACTGCTCCGCGATCTAATGCCTGACTTTCCTTGAATCTTTTATCACATTATATATTCACTACTGCCAGTCTCCTCAAGCTCGATATCCAAGATGCCTTTGATCCCAAATCTTTAAGTCTGCCTCAGAGAGTAGTCTGAATTTATCTATGTAACTATTTGCTATCTGGAGACGACCGAGTTAATGTTGGTGGAGTCTGTATGCTTCGGAAACTACAGGAATGAAATAAACCTCGAATAAATGCTCCAGGAAAAGAAACCTTTGTCCAGATTGAGTATAAAGCCTTCGTTGCAGATCAAGCATTACTACGTTATATTACTACAGCTACTTTAGATAATAGTTCGTCTATCATTACTACAACTACAACTACAAATATCATTGCTGCTACTACTACAACTACTCTTACTACTACTGTCACTCTTGCTACTACTCTCACCACTACTTATTCTACTACTTCTCCTCCTACTACTGCCACTATCACTCCTACTACAACCACCACAAACACTCACTGCTACGACCACCGTACACACACGCGCGCATACAGTCTCCCAACAAGAGAGCGAGCGGCTGCTATAACCACAAGAGCACCTATAGAAACGCGAGGCAGGTACGGTCAAAGGGGTAAGTGGGTGCCATAGAAAGACGCTCCTAATTACTTTTATACAAGTTATGGATATTAGGATTCTTAAAGTTCGCATCGTTATGGTGACAGCGGCGAGGCGAGGCGAGGCGAGGCGAGGGAAAGCGAGACAAGGCGGTTGGCGTAAGACTGGGAGGATGGGAGAAGATAAGGAGATGGGAGAGAAAGGAGAATGAGATGCGGGAGAGAGTTTCTGTTTTTTCACTGTCTGTGTGTCTGTCTCTGTCTATTGTATGTATGTGTCAGGTTATGTGTGTCTGTATGATTGTCTATCAGGATATTGGTTTGTCTGTTCGCCTGTCTACGTGTTTGTCTCTCTGGTTGTCTCAGCTTTTTTTCTCCTTTTTTCTGCTTTCAGTCAACTGAATTCTTCCTTTTTTCCTTCTTCCTCTCTCGCTTTCTTTCTGTCTCTCTTTCTC